ATCCAAGTACTACTCTTATCTGCCTATGATCACACAATGAGTTTAACAATAAAAGTTGAATAAGAAGACATGAAAAGGAATTCAATAAAGTGCAATGGAGATATCTATTAGCTTCTCAAACCCTCTTAATTACATTCTTCTTCAATGTCCCAGAAGGGATTTATCAGTAGGAACTTTCTTCCATTCTCCTAATTGGCAGAGGAAAACCAAGAGTGATGTCACTTCTCCACGTCTCTTCGCAAACTTAAAGTTGATCATATTCCACTTACCCATCAGGCAGATGCTTGAATACCATCTGATGGTGTTTCAACTGGATATGTAGACAGAGCTGCCGGAGCAAAGGGTACCAATGTCTTTAAATTGTTGTTCTTCTCTGATACGTCCTAGGCATTCTGACAATATTTCCTCATATTTTCCTGGTTCATATGATCCATTTTTATATTGGGGGGGTGATCACCTGTGCTTTATCTTTTGAATTTCTGTATAAAATGTTAATTTACTACAACATATAAAAATGGGTTTCTGATTTCCAGTCATTTATGAACAAACAATATATGCTTTTCCTATATTTTCTTTATTGTTTTTGTTTTTCTGATACTGAAATTGAAAGTAGAAGAGTGAGTACTTTGTTTCCAGTGGGAACTATAGGTGAAAGTTAGAAAATACCAGTACAAAATCTAAATTACATTTTCATTTTTCTGATTGAACTAACAGTGGTCTCAAACCCAAATTGAAGACCAAAGTGCAGAGAACTTGCTCCCTGCTAGTACTGAGGCAGAGTTATAGGCTTTGGGTCGGGACCAGGGCTTTCCCTGTGCCATTTGTATGATCAAAGGTAGATAAGAATAGTGCTTGGATTTCTAAGCAGTATAAATTCAAAATGAGAACAGGTTTCTCATAGGTCCTAGGAAACAATAAGGCAGTAAGGTACTGGATGAAGTGAACTCTACCACCACTATTAATGATTCTGAGTTAAACATGCACTGAGCTCTTGGCATTAAACTGAAACAGTTGGACTGTCAAGAGTAAGACTGAACAAGGAGATATATTGAAATGATGTGTGAAGACACAGTTTTCCCCATCTGTCTGATGTCTGAACTAAGCAAGTCAAAATTGTTTGACCTAACCACCAAACTGCAAGAACTATTTTCCAGTGCCTACCGTCTTCCTTTCAGCTCATTGAACCACACGGTCAATTCAATCTGCCAATAACTTCAAGGCCTCATGAGTGTCATTCTTACATGAATTCTCACTTCATTTCAATCACACATAGAGGCTACATAAGTAGGTGTATTTTACAGCTTATTGGGCTGTTATAAATGTCTTCTACAGAATTCTGTTTTTATCCTTTGGAGAACTGGGAGTGGAATTTGATAGATTATACATACATACACAATGTATCCCATATTTGTGGACATTTACATGAAATCTGATTGTAGAATTGCTTATTGTATCCACACAGCAGGATTTATGGCATTTATTAAGTTGATTCTCATAAGGGGTCTTTGGAATTATTATAAGTGTATGAAACATATTTGAAACTATTTTAAACACTTCCTGATCTATGTCCACATCATATCACTTCTCAAAAAAAGTTTTATCAAAAACAACTGATACTTCCTTCCTGTTGTTAAGAATTTTTAGTTTTATTATTTCAGAAATTGAAAACTTGCAAGTGTTTAATCTTTAAGGAACATATGGAAGATGATGCTTTAACAGATTAACTTGAGATAGGTCACGTATATTTTGAGTCTATTTATTTTGTACCATTTCCAATTCTACTTTGAATCACATTTGCATCAGTCTTATTTTTTTTCCCCCTGATTAGACAGATTTTGAGTTCTTTAAACACACTCAAGTTCAATTTATCTTTGGTTAATGTTCAAAGAAATTGTAATCAGAAATCTATTAGTGGTTTTCATTTTCTGTCTCTGCACTTTGATTTCAATGACACATTGATTGTGAAGATTAATAAAACTGACAATGTTTGTGATAACAATTAAAGCCTTATATGGGCTATGTCAGATTTCCTCTACATGCTAGTTCTTTCCTTTCCCCTGATATTTAGGGGAAATAATAGGACCTGAATTTTACCTTTGGAAAGCATGTATGTGACAGAAATGAATTAGAATTCTTCACAAAGCTCCATTTGATCAGGGTAAACAATAAAATATATAAACAAATTATTTGGAATACAAAAATGATCAGACCTAAATTTTTAGAAATATGCTTAGATATTAACTATCTGAAGTTAACAGTATATGTGGTGGTGTGTTCATCTGAGTCAGATAATGTTCTAAATACTGTTATTATTCTTTGTAATTTAATGCCCATTACACATTAAGGTCAAATTTTATTTTTATCCTAACTTTATGTAGAGTGGACAACTTATGCAAGTTTTAGTAACTTATACTTCAGATAGAAGGGAAGCTAGCTCGAAGGCCAAAATCTGGCTGCAGAATGTGTGCCCCTAAACTTATACACCCTGGTTCTCTGAGGGGTCAACCATGCCATGAGAATTTTAAGATCCCACCTGAGTGCTTAAACCAGAATCATTCATTCAATTGTGACTTCAATACAAAAACTCTAAAGATAAGAATTTAATTATCTCTCTCTCTTTCATTCTTTCTCTTTCCTTCTCTCTCTACCCCTCTCACTCTCTTTTTTTTCTTCAGTATTTTACTCTTCCAATTCCAACCGTATGGTGTTATAGAATACCTTTAATAGAAAACATCATCACCCCAAACTGTGGCAACTTCAGTATAAGTTAACCATTTTTTCAATCTATAGTTGTGAGTTCACTTATTTTTCTGGTACATTTGTTGAATTA